CGAGCCCTTGCTGCACGGTAAGGGCCGGGCCGAGGAATCGGGATGCAAAACATGCTCCGGACGCTCCGTCGGCATTTCCCACTGAGCCGCTGGCCGGGTGTCTGCACTGTCCCCGAGTGTGAAGCTCTTCACTTAGTTGCAGCCCTTTTTGGTTTGGATCAGAGGCCAAGGCGTCGTGAAGTGCGTTTGGAGCCAAACCCCTCCTCTTTGAGCCCTTGTGTGCCATTGACACAGCCCCCCGCAGCGTTTCTCAAAGTGCGGTAAAAGGACCACCTGCAGTGGTGTCAGGGGCGGTGCCTGGTAAAAGGAAACATAGGACTCCGAATCTGAGAAATGTGTGCTTTTAACAAGTTTCTCACGTGACTAGCATGCATTAAGACCTGGGTGGAGCTTAAGTTTCTGCCTTTCTAGAAGCTCTCAGGGATGCCAGGCTACTGACTGGTTCATGGGCAATCCATTGGGTAGCAGGGCTCTGGGGTGGGGGGGTGGGGTGTCAAGGTGTTATTTGGGGAAAGAGAATTAATTATAATACAGCTAAAAAGTGAGAACAGCCCTAACCGGTTTGGCTCAGTGGATAGAGTATCGGCCTGTGGACTGAAGGGTCCCAGGTTCCATTCCGGTCAAGGGCATGTGCCTTGGTTTCGGGCACATCCCCAATAGGGGGTGTGCAGGAGGCAGCTGATCGATGCTTCTCTCTCATAGATGTTTCTAACTCTCTATCCCTCTCCCTTCCTCTCTGTAAAAAATCAATAAAATATATATTTTTTTTTATAAAGTGAGGACAGATATCTGAATAGACCTAAGTAGAGCAAGGAGAACTTCTTGGGAAGGCCTGTATGCATAATCCATGGACACAGACAATGGTGTGGTAAAGGCCTGGGGGGAGGCGTGGGGAGTGTGAGGTGGAGGGGGTTCATGGAGGAAAACGGGGACATCTGTAATACTTTCACAATGAAGATCAATTTAAAATAAAAAGAATAAAGGCCCACCCTTAGAGGATATAATGTAGTATAACCTTTATGGATCCTTTACCATACATACTCCAGGCTTTGCTTAGCTCTCTTGAGGTATTAACTCATCCAGTTCATATAACACACTATACAGTAAGTCCTGTTAGCCTCCTGTGAGAGAGGGGGAACCTGAGCATAGAGGTAAAATAAGCACTCACATTACACAGCTTTTCAGGAATGGAGTTGGGATTGGAATGACTCCAGATCTCATGCTTTTAATCACCGTACTCTTCCTTAAACCAAGGGAGAAGCGAGATTGTGGGAACTAGCAGGTTGTAAGGTGTTAACGTAAAAAAACCATTGAAACCTGTAAAGAATTTTTGTGAGTTTATTTGAGCCAAACTGTCGACATATGCCGGGAAGCAGAACCTCAATGAATTGAGATAGTGCTCCGGAGAATGGCGGGGTTACAGTTGTATTTATACATCCCAATCAAAGGAGGAACATAGGTGGGTTACAGGAAATTCATTGGTGATAGATTAAGGAGGAGGGATAAGCAAAGCAGGGAAACCCCTGGGATTGGATAAAAAGTAAAATGATGGACACATACTTAGGTGGTGCAGGAACAATTAACATGATGATGAAGGAATTTGTGGTATCTGTCCTGGGACCCAGCACACCTGGTTGTGCCCCAGGGGCTCCAGAGAAAGGGAAGTCACAAGTTTCTCAGACATTTTAAGGGTCTGTTATCATAGATGCAAAAAGACAGATAGGCTCAGTTAAGGTAAAGGTTGACCTTGTCAGTGAAGATACTGGCCCAGGATGTAACTGCCCACCATAACTGCTTTTAGCTAAAGTTTAATTTCAGACCATCCTTTGTGGTTACTTTAGGTCTCCGAGTTTGCAAGACCTCCATGCAGGCCTCTCCTGAGCTTGTCAGGTCAGCATGTGGCCCCTTTCGTCCACAAAGGGGACCATCAAATACTAATGTAAAAAGGTTGATTTTATCCTGTTGGCAGAAGGGAGCCAGCAGTTTTTAGATTGGGGAGTGAATGTTTAAAATAGATTTGTGGCTTAGGAAGCTGGATTTGTGGTGGCTTAGAAGTCAGCCTGGAATGAGGGTGAAGGTGACATGGACAGCAGTATGAAGGCTCATGCAACAGTCAAGGTCAGAGTTAAGCAGAGTCCAAATTAAGTGATTTAAGAGAAACTAAAAGAATATTTGTTAATATGAATATTTCATGGAGGTAGAATTATAACGAAGTTCAAAAGCTTCTTTATATTTATATAGATTACCTTTTATTTATGCTTTCTTTTATCATCAGCAAAATATTTTTTAAAGCTACATGTTTATGAAAACGAATGCATAAAATGCTATTTTTAATTAATGGCAGTTATTAAAAGGACAAGAAAGACATTTTATTTTTCCCTTCAGCTACAGTAACAAAATTATTTCCTTAAATTCTGTTGGCAATTTAGCACTAATTAAGGAAAACTTAACCTACTATTGCCTTTATCTCTTAGATGAAAATGAAGACCTAAGGAAACTTGCAGAGAATGAAATAGCTTCCTGTCAAAAAGAAATCGCTCAATTGAAGCATCAGGTATAGTATTTATACAAAGAATAAAGTAGCATTAGTGCTATTATTTCTAAAGACTTTTATTAGATGTTAATAAAAACAACTTAGGACTTAATTAGTTAGTATTTAGAAATATAAACTGTTTTTTAAAGCCGGAAAAAGGTACTCCCTGTGGTCCTATTTTTAGCATACTAAAAGGATTTATAAAGCTCTGGCACAAGGATGAATGTTACATGAATAGGATTTGCCAGAAAGGCAAGGTAATATTGTTATTCTGTATCCTCTCTTTTGTTTATTTAAAAGATGAGGGTGGGGTAGGCTATGAGTAGAAGATTTAACAAATCATTTAACCTTTGTTAACCTCATTTTCCTTTACATGTAAAATGAGGGAATTGGACCAGGTCTTCGAAGGGCCTTTTCACTTCCAAAATTGCAAGTTTCTTTTCCACTTAAAGATTTTTTTAAAAATGCAATTTTTTTTCCTATCATGCTAGGCTGCACATTTCAAAAGGATAGATTCTTTTGCTTTCTTCACACAATAGTGTCCTACTCACAGCAGGTACTTAATCATTCACTGAATAGAGAACTGATGTAAAGTATACATGAACACCAAAAAAAAAAACACCTGTAAGTGCTAGCTGAACCTTATAACATTTATAACATAGGTGGTAATATTAATATTTTTTAGAAATTATGCTTTTACGGTTCTAATTGGCAAGATGGTTGGAAGTAATCAGCAGTATTAAGTTTGCTTAGAGAAACTTTTCAGTAAATTAAATATTTAAAATTCTGCATCTAACCATTTGCCTCTTTTTCAAAGTTTTGAGTAATGATTTATTATAGAAGGAGTGATATTTTTTTATTTACAGATTATCTTACTTCTGGTTCCCTCAGAAGAAACAGATGAAAATGATTTGATCCTGGAGGTAACTGCAGGAGTTGGGGGTCAGGAGGCAATGTTGTTTACTTCAGAGATGTTTGATATGTATCAGCAATATGCTGCTTTTAAAAGATGGCATTTTGAAACCCTGGAATATTTTCCAAGTGAAATAGGTCAGTGAACTGTTTAATTTGTTTGGGGAAAAGTGTAGATTTACCTACGTGTGTCCTAAGAAAAGGGTTGGAAAGACTAGGCTTTCGAATTTATTTGTAAGGATGCTTAAGTAGTTTTATGCTCATCATTTACCTAAATAAGTTTGAATGAAAATATACCAAGGGCCTAAAAAATGTTAGTCAATACTAACCACTGAATGACTGTCTTTTAAAAGTGATATTTTAGACATGTTGAGTCAGTTAACACCATAAATGCTTTAGGTTTAATAATTAGCAATAAATATATTACATATTAAAAACACCATCATAGACTTGTTCAAGCTTTTTGGTATATTTTACCATCTATAGGTTGTTTTGTAGCTTTTTAAAATATGTCTCAAGATGGTAGAAGTGATGGTCAAATGTTAATAAATGATAAGAATAAAAAACGAATTGTGTTTTCCCAATACTTTGAAGGTGGGCTTCGACATGCATCTGCCAGCATTGGGGGTTCCGAGGCCTATAAGCACATGAAGTTCGAAGGAGGTGTGCACAGAGTACAGAGAGTGCCAAAGACGGAGAAGCAAGGCCGCATTCACACCAGCACCATGACTGTGGCAATCTTACCCCTACCCACTGAGGTGAGGCATCACAGTGCCCCTTCTTGGAATCGTGGGCCTAGCACAGTGCTTCGTCCCAGAGGAACACTCACTTGACTGAATTGTGCATCTCCTTGTTGTATTTGGCCTTTATCACATATTTTGAGTTATTTTTGAGGATGTGGTATCTCAGTCCAATAAGTATGATTTTATAACAGCCTAGAGGCCCAGTGCACGGGGAGTGGGCCTAAGCCGTCAGTCAGACATCTTTAGCGCTCCCGTCACCACCGCTGCGCTCGCCAGCCGTGAGCCCGGCTCAGGGCTTCTGGCTGAGCGGTGCTCCCCCTGTGGGAGCGCACTGATGATCAGGGGGCAGCTCCTGCATTGACTGTCTGCCTCCTGGTGATCAGTGCGCATCATAGTGACCGGTCAATCTGCCTTTCTGTTGATGTGCATATTAGCCTTTTATTATATAGGATAGGACTAGAAGCCCAATGCATGAAATTCATGCAAGAGTAGGCCTTCCTTCCCCTGGCTGCCGGCACCAGCTTCCCTCCAGCTGCCAGCAGGCACCTGGGCTTCCCTCGCAGCCCCGGCTTCGTCCAGAAGGTCTTTGGGTCTAATTAGCATATTACACTTTTATTATTATAGATGGGAAGAATTAAGGATGTATAAATCATCAATTTGTGCACTGTCTATTAATTTTTCTCTACTGTGAAGTTTAAAGTAGTTATATTGAGACCATCTCTGCAGGAGAAATAGTATTAACCTAATTTAATTAGGGTTTAAGACTAATGATTTTTGCTTTGTGTTGATTGGTTCTCAGAGTATCAATAGCAAGAATCCTGTTTTAATAAGGTGACAATTTGACAATTACTACTTCATAACCCAGTCACATTAAAATGGAAACATATTCTTAGTGTTCACAATGAGTATACTTTCTTCTCACAAAGAAATTTGTTTATATAATATTTATAAAATAACTTAGTGAGGATGTTGTTTCACTTACATTCCTTCTGCTGAAAATAAATATTTGACTTGTCTTTCAAAATGAAGTAGGTATGATTTGAGAAGGAAGTTTAATTAAGGGTTTCTCTTTATTAATTTGGGGGGATGGGGCGGGAGTGCTATTTGACTGTGTAACAGGGGCCATACGTAGATACTAATCACTTTGGCTCAAGCATCTTGGGGATGGAAGAAGAGAGTTTTCCGGAAAAGGTGGAAACTAAGGTCCATGTATCATCTAATTCTTCTAGCAACTTGTAGGGAAAAAGGGAGGGCCTATGATGGTAGGATTCTTACTGGGAGGGTTGTAGACATGTCACAGAGTGGTTCACGGTTATTCTTAAAACAGTTTCTTTAATCTAGTGCTTCTGGTGGTGATTCCCAGGACAGAGCATTAGCCTGACATCAGATCCCAGTGTCTTTTTTTTTTTTTTTTTTTATTGCTAAAAGTATTACAAAGGGTATTACATATTACCAGTGTCTTTATGAATTGAATCTTGCCTTGGCAATTTCCCTTTGCCTCTCCTCTGCCTCCAAAAATACTTAAGTCCTCCTTTAATTAAAATTAAACAAAATAAGCCTTTCCCATAGTTCCTAAGCTAGCATTGTTTTTTTCCTCTGCCAAAGTCTTCTTGAACTCAGAAATATTCGGCAAAATCTCATTTCAGCTCTAATACTTACATTTCTAATAATAACATAAGTTCTGCTGTTCATGTGATAAGAAGAGGATAATTTATAGAGAAGTCCAGTTTCTGAGGATTAGGGTTTGTTGTTATAGTATTTTGATCTGCTACTCTTCCAAAATGAAAAGTTTAAAAAATGGTATCCTTCTAACTACCTTCCATTAAAATTAAACCTTCTAAATTTCATAAGTTCTATACATATTTATATTTATGGCTATTTCATTCTTTTGAAGAGTTCATATATGTAATACTTTTAATCCCAAATTTCTCTCTTATGTACAGATTAATCTAGTGATTAATCCTAAAGACTTGAGAATTGATACTAAGCGAGCCAGTGGAGCTGGGGGGCAGCATGTAAATACCACCGACAGTGCTGTCCGGATAGTTCATCTTCCAACGGGTATGTATTTCTTCAACACAAAACATTGAAGAAAGAAATCAAATTCTGAATGACTTAATTTTTCACTGAAATAGATCCTTAATTACCAGAGGAATCTGTACTAAGGATTTATTTAGACTCCTTGGCTGAAACTCTGCAGGGTAGTTGCAAAGCCAGGAAGATGAAGGGATGGATCTGAACCCAAGGAATTTCCATATTAGTGACAGTGACGAGAAGGTGTGGATAGCCCTTCCAGGTAGCCTTCTCAAATTTATATTGAATAGATATCACTATTTTAAAAATCCCCACAATATAGTCATTATCATGGATTCTTCTTTATAAGAAAACTAGAGGCTCGGTGCACGGGACTCGTGCACTGGGGGGTGGGGGGGTCCTTTAGCCTAGCCTGTGCCCTCTCGCCGTCTGGGGCTCTTGAGTCCAGGACGCCTGTTCCTTACCGCCTGCCTGCAGCAGAGATGGCAGAGGCTCCTGACACCACTGCTGCGCTCGCCAGCCGTGAGCCAGGCTTCTGGCTAAGCAACGCTCTCCCTATGGGAGCGCACTGACCACCAGGGGGCAGCTCCTGCATTGAGCATCTGCCCCCTGGTGGTCAGTGCATATCATAGCGACCAGTTGTTCCACCGTTTGGTCAATTTGCATATTACACTTTTATTATATAGGATGCTCTAAATCACTAGTTTTTAGTTTTTGAAGGGAGGACATGGATTCTTTTGAGGAAATGAAAGCTTGGATCCCCTACCTGGAAACATACATATATGCAAAGTTTTCCATATAATTTCAGGGTCTTCTTTCAATTAGGTTCATCCACAGATCACCAGGGGTTCTGAGTCTAGATAGTTAAGCAGTGGAGCTATATAGATCCTTATTGGGCCTGCAGTATCTGTTAGGTAGAACTGTAGTGATTCACTTGTGATAAAGAGCAGATGAAGAGCAAACCTGAGTTATCTAGAAAGAATACAAGACTCTTACAGTGACCTATCTCAAACAGGTATAAATCCCATTGACTAGTAGTGGTTGATGGGAAGGATAGTTTGATGTATTTTTCTTTTCTTAAATATGAGGAACTTATCATGTTAAACCTTAAGACGATGTCTTACGTAATAGTATATAAACTAGAATAGAAAAAAATGGATGGAAATATTAAAAACATGAATAGTGATCTCTGTTAATGGGATTAACTTTTTAATATATTTGTTTCTATGATGAGATTTTTTAAAATAGATACCTCGTTGAGGGTATGAAAAAGCAATCCATATTAAATTATAAATTTTTTAATCATATTTGAGCATTTATTCCAATACTGCTGGCAGCATGGGGAAGCAGCAGGTCATCTACAAAAATCTGCTCTGCAACTGCTCCAAACCAGCTGCTTAGATAGGGTGGGACCAAGATTAGATGGGGAAGTAGGCTCTGCTGGCTGGGGTGGGACGCCATTGTTTTGGCAACTGGGTTGTTGATCTTTTCATGATAATAGGTAGTTCTTCAATGAAAATGGACCTCATCCCAAGGGTGACTCCCTGGGTTTCTAACTCCCAGCCAGGCTAGAATATCCTTTCTTTAATTAGAATAAGGCAGTCATGGTTAACAGAACATGATTAATATTTCCCATAAACATAGCTAGTCCCCAATGTGCTATTTTTGCCCCTAACATTTATGCCACAAGAGCAGATAATCTATTGCTGCCCGATTCTCTGGAACTGCCTCCCTGATCTGGCTCAGCTCTTGATTTATCCCATATGTAAGTCTAGAAGTGGCATTCAGGGCTTTTACCATGCTACAAGCCAGCCAGGTCACTTCTACATTAAGGGAGCCCCACTACTAGCATAACAAAAATGGTTAAAGCAGTATATTCAGCATGGCTCTACACAGATGGAGATCTTCGTTGCAATCCGGTGCCACGGCTGTGAGAAGGTCTCTTTTGGTTTGGATCATGTGATGTTTCTGGAGCATAAAGATGGTCGTTCGTCCTAAGAAACAAGCCCTCCCCTCTCCCCCGCACTGTTTGCAGGAATATATGAATAAATAGTTACTTCACATATCAGAAACTAACCAGCCAGCAGCTGGTAGTATGTCCATTACTTTCAGGGAGGGCGAAATTATCAGAACAATTCATATTGTAGTTATTAGATACTTAAAGACAATAACTAGAACACCTGGTAAAAATCATTCACCCCACGTTACTGCAGCAGCCTTTAGAAAAAACATCCCTGCATCCTTTTCCCAGACAATGGGTCCCAACGTATAAAGGTCCCCATCTGTGACTTTCTTCCCAAAAGAATAGAATAGTTCTATATATTAGCAGTAGATGTCCCAACTCCTGCTAGGTAAAAGGTAAAGGTCCGTTCTTCATAGGTCCCTCCATTGCCAGCTTCAGAGCAGTTGGAGTGGTGAGATGCATGTCTCAGGGTCTTAATTTTTATTGTGTAGTATGTATGCCTTCAAAATGGAAATGCTTTGTGCTCTAGTTCACACTTAAATTTTGAGTTTTCTGATAACTATAAGTTGTTTAAGTCTTCCTTTTATATTAGAATCCTATTTGTCTCCTCATAAAGGAAGACGAAAAAGGATGAGAAGGAAAAGTATTCCTTAATAATAAAATGAAGATAATTTTTTTTTAATTAATACTCTTCGATTCTCATAACACTATTCAGGTGTTGTTTCTGAATGCCAACAAGAGAGATCGCAACTGAAAAATAAAGAGATGGCTATGAAAAAGTTACGTGCAAAACTATACAGCATGCAGCTTGAAGAAGAAACAAGTAAAAGATACAATGCTAGAAAGATTCAGGTAAAACTGAAATGAAAATACTTTTAAAGGATAAACATTTAATTCTGTCTTTATAGTAATCTTATACCTAAGCTCTATTTTCTATATTCAAGGGTGTTTTTCTCACACTTTTAATCACTTAACTAAAAACAGATAGATATATGGGGTCTCCATTCTGAAAATTATGGAAGATGGAAAGCGAACTGAACTTTCTTCCTATTATTTAACTACAGAGACATTTTACTCATACTGTATTAATGGGAAATACATCACTTTGTCATCATTGAAGATAACTAAATTAATTCACAGAGATTATATATAGTTATCATTTGAATATCACTGTGCCACCCTTTATGTACACATCATCACTGTGTAGTAGGTATTATCTGTATTTTACAGATGGGGAAGCTAAAGTTGAAATAAATTGCCTGAAGTCCTGGAACGCTGAAGTGGCACAGGATTCAGATACTAATTTGTCTGCCTGTAAAGCCCCTGTTATTTTTTCTCTATGTTCCCATGTTATATGAGGAGTCAGGTTAAAACTTGGTTCTTACATTATGTTTCAGATTATAAAATAGCAAGAGCTTAATTTCCAGTTATGTGAAATTTGTAGGTTTAGTTGCCATGAATTTAACTGTATCTCGTATCTTTTTTTTATATATGTATAGATTGGAAGTAAAGGAAGGTCAGAGAAAATAAGGACATACAATTTTCCACAGAATCGTGTCACAGATCACAGAATAAACACGTCACTTCATGATCTTGAAACGTTTATGCAAGGAGAGTACCTACTGGATGAACTTGTACAGTCATTGAAAGACTATGCGGATTATGAATCGTTAGTAGAAATTATTTCCAAAAAACTTTAAATTGATTTGTTATTAAAGACTTTTACAACTAATGAAAAATTCTACTACAGCAAATCAGATTGTGTGTAAATAATCACCAATATTGTCTTGAAAAACATGAGTTAACAGAAGCAATATGCATATTTTTAAGAGTTTATGTAAATAAATCTTCTCTCAAAATGTATTAGTAAAAATACACATACAATATAATCATGGCTCTGGTTATGTATTTTGGACCCCTTAAAAGAAATAGACAAAGGAAAGTCATTGTTTTATGTAAAATATTTAATGACTGATCAAAAATTGGTTTATTATAAAACACTTCAAACATATAGTAGAAATATGACAGTAAATCCTGTATTAGTTAAGGTCTAGTCAGAAAACAGAAACCATACCATTAAATTTTTTTGAGTGTTTTTACTGATTTTAGAGAGGAAAGGAGAGGGAAAGAGAGATAGAAACATCAATGGGAGAGAACTATCCATTGGCTGCCTCTGCACACCCCTTACTGGGGGTTGAGCAGGCAACCAGGCCCTGTGCCCTGACTGGGAATCGAATCTGCAACCTCCTGGTGTGTGGGATGATGCTCAACCAACCGAACCTCACTGGCCAGGCCATACCATTACTTTTAATGGACCCCCATTAAAAGTAATGGTATGGCCTGGCCAGTGAGGTTGTGATAAAATGTTTTAGCTGATAATGGGATCAGCTATTGGGGAGAACTCATACACTAGGACTGAGGTTGTCCAAGGATAGGACACCCTTGGAAGGGGCTTCCCTTCCCCAAGGGGTCAAGGCAGGCCAGTGGGAGA